TACATCCCCACCGAGCTGCACCTTGTCCCATTTCTTTATTTACAAGGACCCACACTCGTAATATTTGCTGAAGAGAGCATCGGACTAGGGATGGCAATGGGTAAAGTACCCGATGGGTACCCGCAAAATCTACCCTCAACGGGTAAGGTATTTACCCGCTACACGGGTATGAGTATGGGTATGGGAAAATACCCGCAAATTTCCATGGGGATGGGGGCGGGTATGGGTACCTAAGTACCCACCCCGCCCCATACCCGCATATACTATTATTATTATTATTATTATTATTATTATTATGCTACTTATGTGAGGGAAGCCTTAACCCAAAAGCCCATAATGGGAAGGAATTAGGGTTAATACTTTATGTTACTCAAGGCTAGGTCTCTTTTATAATCATTGATAATTATATAATTATATGAGTTGCTCCACAATTTGCCTATCGAGAGTTGTGCTTTAGGAGTGTAACTTACAGAAAGATCTCACCATCACTTCTTATAGAATTCAGAGATCAAGTACAACAAATTTTGCAAGTCTTCAACAAGTAAGCTTAAAACTCTATTATAATTATTATTGATATTTCTAATTATTTTTTATTGTTCTAATTTCATATATTATAGTTTGAATAATTTTTTACTTATAATGGAGGAACTAATAATTTAAGAAAACAAGAATCTAACCTACTTTTATATTTTAGAAAGTTTTTGTGGATGCTTTTGTAAAATTTTGGTCAAGATAAAGATTTTACTATTTATTTTATATAATTTCATGTCTTATATTTTTTCTCAGTTCAGACTTCTTTTATAGGTCATATTTATTTTATTTTATAATACTATATTTTCAAAAAAATTTCTATGCAAAATAAAAAGGTTGAGAAATTTAATATAAATATTTACGTTACTCAAATAAAAGAATGCATATTTAAATATATAAAAATCTATCTAATTAAATTTATTTTATAAGATTAACATAAAAATATATTTATCAATAAAGTAAACCATAAAAATAATTTTTTTTCATATTTTTAATAGAAAAATTTATTTACTATTTTATATCGTTTAACTAGACTAATACAATTTAATTATTATATAGTTGATATGCGATTAATTTTTTTAAAAAAATTATTTCTATATGAAACATACAAAATGTTTAGAAATTTAGTGATTAAAATTATGTGATATTATATTGACTTGGGTTAAATAAAATTTTTTATTTCAGTTCTTGCTTTTATATAGGTAATAACAAATGGAAAATGTACGTGAAATAACTCCTTCAAAGGAATCTGAAAGTAGCTCTTCTCCAATTATTTTCATTACTCCCACACAACCTGAAAATGTTCCTAAAAGTACACTTAATGATTCTGGACCGAGTGACAGTTCTGATATTAGAGATCAATCTCAATCCCAGTCTGATACACTTCCTATTTCGGTGGATGGAGATGATTGTGATGCAACTCATGATGAAAAAAAAGGTGGATGGAGATGATAGATGTCGATTGTATGGAATCACTTTAAGAAAAAAATTATTAATGGGGAAGAAAAAGCTATATGCAATTATTGTAACAAGCAACTGACAGGTAGAAGATCAGATGGAACAAATCATTTGCATAAACACTTTCAAACTTGTAAGAGGAGGTCATATAAGGATATAAGACAATCAATCTTATTGAGAGAACAAAAGAAAGTAGACGGATCATCCACTTATTTGAGTAATTATCACTTTGATCCAGAACAATCTAGAAGAGATCTTGCTTTTATGATAATAATTCATGAGTATCCGCTTTCTATAGTAGACCATTTGGGGTTTAGAGCATATTCTGAAGGCCTCCAACCTTTATTCAAGGTTCCTAGTCGGAACACAATAAAAGGTGACATTATCAAAATATATCTGAATGAAAAGTTGAAGACTATGGGACTCTTAGAGAAGATTGGAAGTAAAATTGCTTTAACAACAGACATGTGGACAACTAGCAATCAAAAGAAAGGGTTTATGGCTATCATAGCTCATTACATTACTGATGATTGGGATATGCAAAGTCGCATATTGAGGTATAATTTTTGTGATCATTATATGATATATTCATTTAGTAATTATTTGCATTATTTCAATTTTTTATATATGTATATAATTTATTTTTACATTAATAGGTTTGTATATGTGGAATGTCCACATACAGCAGAAGCTCTGTCTAAAGTATTAGTTGAATGCATGCTAGATTGGAATATTGATAGAAAGTTATCTACCATCACTTTGGATAATTGTAGTACAAATGATTCTCTTGTTGGTTTGTTACTAAACAAACTTGATTGTTCTTCTCTTATGCTTGATGGTCAATTGTTTCATATGAGGTGTTGTGCACATATTCTCAATTTAATTGCTCAAAATGGTTTAAATATTCTTGGAGATGGTATAGATAAGGTTAGAAGTAGTGTTGCTTTTTGGACAGCTACACCTAAAAGAGAACAAACCTTTAAGGAAGTAGCACGTCAAATCAAAGTTTCCATTACAAGGAAACTTCTACTTGATTGTAAAACAAGATGGAATTCTACTTATCACATGCTTGTTGTTGCATTGGCTTATAAAGATGTTTCTATTTGTTTGAAAACAAGAGAGCATATGTATACATGTATCCCTACAACAAATGACTGGGAAATTGCTAAAGAAATTTGTAGTAGGTTGGAAGTCTTTAATCGTGTAACTGAGATGTTTTCTGGGACACAATATCCTACAACAAATATTTTCTTCCCATTGGTTTGTGAAATAAAGTTATCTTTGCAATAATGGCAAATTTGTTCAATTGAGGCTATTAGAAATATGGCTACAAAAATGGTAACCAAATTTGAGAAATATTGGTCTGTTATACATGAAATCATGGGAATTGCCATTTTTTTGGATCCAAGATATAAATTAAAGTTGTTAGAGTACTTCTTTCCCAAGCTCTATGGAAGTTCATCTTCTTTTCAAATTAACAATGTGAAAAAATTATGCTACTTGTTGTTTGAAGATTATTAAGCTAAAGCCATGGGAATAGTAGAAAGTTCAACTGAAAAGTCTAATGAGACGGAAATGAATTTGGATATACTTAATGTTAACAATTTTTTAAGTGATTATGATTCATTTGTTAAAGATACAAATGATATGCAATCAAAGTCTGAGTTGGATATCTACTTGGAAGAGAAGATATTGCCTAGAAGTGCTAGTTTTGATATCCTTGGGTGGTGGAAATCAAATGGGATCAAATATCCAATATTGCAAAAAATTGCCAAGGATATTTTGGCCATCCCAATTTCAACCGTTGCTTCAGAGTCTGCTTTTAGCACATGAGGTAGATTGTTGAGTCCTCATCGTTCTCGACTCCATGAAGATACTTTAGAAGCACTCATGTGCGCACAAAGTTGGCTGAAACATGAAAATGAAGGTATTGAATACTCTATTAATATATTTATTTAATTAAATATTTTTGTTAATTTTAATTTGATAGCTTAATTATTGATTTTCTTATTATGTACTTGTATGTTTTAGTTTCTATTGGTATTACTGGACCAAAGCAATATGTAAACTTGAAAGATAAACATTTACAGTCATTTGGAGAGTCTGATTCTGATGAAGAGGTAAAATAGCCTAACTATACTATTTTGACTTTATAATAAATAATTAACTAATGCTATTTTTTTAGGTCTTGCAGAGTGACAATACAGGAATATAAAAGTTTAGGAGTTGGTTGTTTTACAAGATCTTGAAGATTATGTGTGTAATTTTGTTTGATTTTTAAGTACTTTAGTTTAGAAAATTGATGTCTTAAGATACACTTAACACTTATGATCTTTGAATATTTATTTTGTATTTATACTTAAACTTTGTTCGATAAAATTATATAAGCATATTTTTTTTATAACTGCTTTTTTTTCTTAGACATGCGCGGGTAATAGGGGCGGGTATGGGTATGCGGGTACCCAGAGGGTACGGATACGAGGACTAAAAGTACTACCCATGCGGGTATGGGGCTGATTACGGGTATTTTTTTAAAATGCGGGTATGGGGATGGGTACTATAGTACCCTACCTATTGCCATCCCTACATCGGACGAAAAATGTGAACAATACATTTCTCACACAATTTTTTAAAACATTTTTTTTATTTGTGAGATTTTATTTTAAATTATAAAATCTTACTCTTTAATTTGATCAGTTTCATTTGTGAATTTAAAGGTGAAGTGGGTGGGTTTGTGCAGTTCATGAAGGGTTAACATGGTAATTTCTAACATCAATCAAAACTTAAAATACAATATTACATGATTATTAAGTTTTTTTTTTTAAATTTTTCAATTAAAATTGAAAATCTACCTATGATGCTAAATTTAAGATTTTGTCATTCCCTCACAGACTTGAGGGAAGAAAATGTTAAAGGTGGTCATTGCTGATAGCAAAGAATGAGATTGCTATGGTTTTGATTAATTAAAATTTCTTTCTTTAACCTCTCCGAGAACATATGTTTACGTTCTTTTTTACTATGGTTTAGATTATATAGTCAAAATTTTCTTCTCTCTCCTTTATTTTAAAGTTAAAACGTTTTTTCCTTTAATTAGTTGATATTTTGCAAACAATTTTTCAAGTGCTGGTGTTAAAATATCACGTTAAACATCCACATATTTCCAACCGAATCAAGTAGAATCAATATCAACAACTCTCCCTCTTAAATTGTAAGATGGCTACATTCCACAAAACTCCAAAGTACGTCTGAAATAAAAGAGTCCTCTGCACTTAATGTACATGCCTGTAGCATTCTTTTCCAACACACCATTATAACGTTACCCTAGCCCTCTCGTCAATTTATTTTTCAATGTTAAAAATTATAATCATTATTCGAAAATGTCTCATTTTTCAACGGCATCATACAAACTCCATATGTGCGATGCAAAATACACAAAATTTAGGTCCAAGACAATGATGACTCTTGTATTTGTGAAAGAATATGGTTGAGAAAAGATTCGGGAGACCCAATTCGGGAGCTTAAGCCCATATTTTTTTGTTGTAATAATCACAGAACATCAAGACTTTTGACTACCTTTTTTATATAGTCCAAACCCAAATGTACAAAACTAATCACAGATAGACCAAGGGTATGTTGACAAAAAAAGAGATCAAGGGTATGTTTTGTCTTCAAACATACATTCCCTCCAATATGATTCTTTTCCTTCTCTTTTTGACTACTACTCCCGCTAGTCCAAGATACTCATTTTCTTTCCAGAACAGTGAAAGAACAATAGGACTATTGGTTCACATTGGGTTCACTTTGTTTCAAATGCTTCGCTTTCCCATTCAAAAAATACATCTAAATCCCCATATACATGTGTTCCCCAAGATTAAAGTGACCCCATTAGGCACTACTTTGCCTTTAGTTTAACCTTTTTACAATGATGAAAACCCCACCCTCCCACCATGTACAAAACATCTATTATAATGCCTAATAGCACCGTTGATCCTATATTTTTCCCCCATTGCCAAAATTTCTTCACCCTCACAAAAAAACAGAAAGCTCATACTCTGTTTTTGTTGTTCTTTTCTACAGCAATGGAGAGCAGCCTTGAAACACCCTGAGTCCACACATCGTATTCCCTCTCATTTTTACACTCAAATTCTACTACACCACGCATCACCGTTTTCAACCCAAAGTAGCGGCGATTCTCACCACCTTCCAGCAAGTGGCGGCCAGGCCAGGCAGGCATATCCTTTACCACTTCAATCACCACATCTGAAAATTTTAAAAGAAAGGGATATAAAATCAAAGAATAAAGAATAACCCTTTTGATCTTTTACAACTTTAGTAGCCATGACTTTCACAAATCCCCAAATGGAACGAGACCCACCTCCAAATCTGTTGTCAAATAATTAGTTAGAGCAAGACAAAAGTAATGAAAACTCACTCTTTTTCTTTTTCGTGATGGTCCCAGCAACGTGCCTGCTCTTCATTTTCAGTATAACCTTCACAAAAAGAACTTCCAAAGAGTTAAAGGTTGAGGCTTTCTAAAGAACAAAAGAAACCCCATCCCCTTCACTTCATCATACTAAAGGCCCCCCCGTCGTAACTTTTTCACAACCATGTTTACACTCATCATTAACGCTAGTTGTAATCGATGCTCAAATAATTAATTACGTGATTAGTAATCCTTAGAAACAAAAGTACCATATTCTGGAATACAAGAAAAATTAAAACTCACCTGATTCATCCTGTTTATATACACACATACAATTTTCCAATGAAGATCACCTGCACACAAAATTCTCACATCAAATCAAACAACTTTCCAAGGACCAACCCATACACCTAAATATTACAAGCCAAGCCAAATAAAACAAAAAGAAATTCTGTTTCTCCAACACAAAGATAAATCAACACCAAACTGTGTACGCATATTTTGAGAGAACATTCAGAAAAACAAACATCTTAAATTTCAGCAATATAATTTACCTTTTCGTGTGCGCTTAAGGAGTTCACAACCTCTGGCTAATAATTCCCTACTGCAAATGCCCAAGAAATTATCTTCTTGGGCAAGCTCACCGCTGAAGCTACTGTTAGAATTTCCGTTACTGCCATTAGCACCACCGGCAACCAAATTTTTCTCCACGGGAATCACTGCAGCAATATTCCACACTTCCTTCAAGGCCCTCGCTTTCAATGTGGCAGCCCCACGCAAAGCTGAAATTCAATTTCACATCCCAAGCACCAAGAAATAACCGTGAAAAACCACTCAATTTCAGACAAGAATTTTCCTTCAATTTCAATTCACAAAACATGATCACACATTCCCACGTACCAGTTGCAGCTGCAGCGGTTAAAGTCATGATATCACCAGGAGATCTCACATTCACGGCGGAGCTAACCACCGAGGCAAGGTGCTCACGCTCTGCCCCAAGAGCCTCCGCTGCCTCAACGCACTGAGCCGCAACCAACGTTGCCGCCGATGCCACTGCCATGTCAGTCTTCGCCATCTGCTCGTCCTTTCCGGCCCCTGACGAGGCTGCCGTAGCGGCAGCAATTGCTGCCACGGCAGCAGCAACACCGGCAACCGACACAGCAGCATGAAGCTGAGCATTGTGGGCCCTTGTCTCTTCTTTCTTCTTCTCTTTCCTGTCCTTAAGCCACCTCCCCACCGTCTTTCCGCCGCCAGGTACGGCGGCTGGAGCGGCAGCCGCCCTGAAATGAGAATTGAAGGAGGCGGCGGTGTGGTTGGAACGGGAATACTGCAGAGAGGATTGCGTAGAAGCCATTGGATTAAGGCGGAAGAGAAGATGCAAAAGACATTCTTAATTAATGTTTCAAAACTGGTTTGTTGCGCGTACCACCTATTTCTGATTTGTACCAAATTTTTAATTTTGCAATTTTATGTTACCTTAGCAGTATCAAATGCTGTAACTAACTATCTGTACAACTAAAACATTAGTGACATTGACAACGGGGAGGATAAACCCACCAGCGAACATAGGTGCATTAATGCGTAATGCAGCAGTGGTAAACGGGTCGAAGTTTGACGGTGTGGCATGCCAAATTAGGTGCTATACAAAGTGAGCGTTCTAACCAATTTGACAGGGGTGGGGGTACCAAAAAACCCTAAATATAGAGGATCATTATTATTAACCTAAGTTTAGAGACTTAAATTCACACGCTTTCCGTTAAATTATAAAACTATTTTAAATATGATAAAATAAAGAGACGATGTTGCGTTGGTTACAGAGAAAGGTGAAAGACATGGTTGTACCTTGATATCGTCAATTTCAGAGGGAGAAACAGGGGGACTATCGGTTAAGGAGCCACAACTCTGAGTTCCATTAAGAGGGCCACTGCTATGTGAGAGTCTCCCTGAGGTCCGTGGAGATACCTCCTGCTGAGTATTACAACCAAAATAAATCCTTCAGTGTTGTCGTTTCATGCCAAGAAAACCAAAACAGAGTAGTGGTAGTAAGTGGTGACTAGTAAGTGAATAATATACAGAACAAAGTAAAGGAGAATGAAGAAGAAGACAAAGGTAGCTAAAAACCAAATCAAGTTGCGTGACTGCCAAAAACAACGCGCAGTTCATTTTTTCAGGTGTTCCCTTTTTGCAGAAACTGGGATTCAACACTGACACGTTAAACAACACATTAATACTCTGCTCCCAACCACTACTTACGGATTGTGACATGATTCGTTCCATGACCATCTGAGAGGTCTCCGAGGAAGCAAACGAAAAGGGGTTCCCGGAGACGGCGGCGGAACCGGCTTCCTCGCCTTCGCCAGCGACGTCCTCCGGTATGGCAACGGCGCCGCCATTCGAGAGTGTTGTCTTTGATAGCGCCGGAGACAGAGCCTTGGAGACTTCGAGGGCGGAGACGCTCCAGGAACGGGAGAGGAACTCCATGGGTTCGCGCGGAGTCTCCGGTGGACGGAACATGCCGGCGTGAAGTGGGTCGGGTCGCCACGGTTCAGTTTGGAATTTGTCCATTCGTGTTTTAATTTACGAGCCGAGAAATAAAGAGAGAAAGTGAAAGAGTATGGAGGAGTAGAGAGAGAGAGAGGCCGAGACAGAATTGAAGTGCGGTGAGAGTGTGGGAAGCGATGTTTATAAAGAGAGAGGAAAAGAAGAGAGACAAAGCAGCGATCGTATTTTGTGTCAGTCTCGAGTCGTAATAAAAAGGTCAAGTTTTGCATCAAAAGAGAAACCAACAAAATGAATTATACCAGAAACAGAATAAGGATGCGGATTACATTACATTATTTAATTAATGACAATCCAGTTAAATAGATTTTTGTCTAATACCCATTTTACGTTCATTTAATCTTAAACACGGTATAATATATTATGTTTCTCTTTAATGCTCATATATTATTAGAGTTGTAAGCTTTGTTTCTCCATTAGGAGTAAGCCTTTTTATCTCCTATTTTGGATACTTTATGACTCACTTGGAACATTAATATAAATTATCTCCTTCATTCTATTATATTTGTGTTTGAGATTGTAACAGAAAATAAAAATATATTTTAGCTTCAATTTAACTTATTAACAATTTTTATGGCTTTTTCATTTTTTATATTAAATTAATTTCTTTATGAACCGTCAAAAAATGAAATTGAAAGTTCTATTTAATCATTTATTACACAGTATTATAAAATGACAATCAAAATGAAACAAAAAATAACCGCTAAAATGTTTAAAAAAATGAAGGGAGTAAAATAGTTTCACTTGTGAAAATCTTATTGGTTAACTGCATGTTTTTTACAATTTAAAATTATTTATTGTTCTAAAAGTATTAATTGAATGTGCAAGGTGTGTTTTGGATGTCAATTAATTTAAAATGTACCATGTTTGCATTTTCCTTGAAAAGTTTTAAAATACGATTTGTTTACAAGTTTGTTTTGAAAGTTTATGTGCATAAATTGACACACACTGTAGTTTAAGTAAACTTAAAAATACTCATATTGTGCACCTTATTAGACGAAACTCGAGTAAAAAGAAAAATAAAAGTTGAATTTGAAGAATTTCACCCACTAGAGTGTGGCTTTTCACGGTAAAAGGCAGAATTTTCATTTAAAAAAATTGCGATCCTTTTTTTACATGAAGAATAAAAAAGGAGCGTTGAGAGTGCTCAACGTATGTAGTTCTTCTGGAAATTGCATGGCAGAAAAAGAATGAAGATGGAGGAGGGAGAAAGAGGAGTGATGACAGATACGTACGTAACGTGTGTTCATGGAATAAATGGTACGGCAGTTTTGAATTGAATTTGGCAGAGAGGCTACACTGAATAAAGCTCCACTCACACTCACACTAACACTTGTTCCACTCCTTCTCTTTCTTCTTCCATTCTCAAGAAAAAATTGGAAACCCGTCTATTTACGTTTTATAAGCGTATTTCAAAACTTTTTAAAATATTCCATGCGAGGAATGTTACTAATATTCTTTTAACACGCTTTCAAAAAATAGGACAATACAGATAATATGTTTAAAAAATATTTAAAGAGTGTATTATTCACATGTCTTTATTCTTTATATGTTAGTTGAGTTTGATAACATTAAAATATGCGTGATTTGATTAATTTTGTTATTTTTCGAAATAACATAGAAACAAAACTTTAAATTTAGTTTTAATCGAACATGCACACTAATACTTGGATTCATTTCCATCGATGATAATGTGTGACGTTATCTTCAATTAAATATTTTAATTATATTTTGATCATATGATTTATTGAACATAAATAGGTTAAGAGATGGAATCAAAGGCAGAAACCAACGACTTTAATATATTCCGATATTATTTTCGTTTTCCATCTCAAGATGATGTGGTGTGTTACTTAATTCTTCTTGGAAGCGGGAATTTATGTAATTAATGTTATTACTTTGAATAAACAATGTTATATATATTTGTGTTTTAGTTTGTGGTCTTAGTATCTCCTAAATATTTTGTATGACTTGTATCCAATAAGTTGCATGTATTTACGTGACTATTAAAATATTTAGATAAAAAATAGACAGATTTGTTTAGCAAAGGTGATTAAAATTTCAATCGACCCAACTAGATTCAAAATAAATAAATGGTTTAATCTTTTTAATGTGTCATCTTTTATTTATCATGAAAATTAGTTTTTTATTAGTATGTTATCAAAAAGGCTTGATTAGAATAATATCAATACATCTCACTGATGAAGAGATATTCTGTGGTTGTGGTTGTAATAATAAACTGTTGATTTGTTTAAAGTCTTCGTTTGCATCTACTAATCTAATATGCATGGACAATGACACTTTTCTGTAAGCACGAGACTACGTTGGGTTCTAGCTATTGTGAACTAAATCAGATTATGACAAAACCAAACCGAAAATATTAATATTGATGAACAATAATTACAAGGAATTGTTATTATCAAGATTGCTGGAAAGAATGGTATGTGACTATTTGATATTCATTTCAGCAAGCTACTTGGGGTTGAGCTCATACGCGGGAGATGGCTACAAGTCATACACCCCGTAGACAGCGCATCTTGGTAGATTCATAAGATTCTTCTTATTGCTGCTATTCATTCTTTTCAACTTTATGCTGTAATTATTATTATTATTATTATTCTCGGGATGTACTATATGATTCCACCCACTGAAAAAAGTGAGTGTGTGTGTGTGTAAGAAAAAATGTTAAACTAATAAAAGTATTTTTTACCTTCAAAATGATTTTTTGTTATGCGTAGAAAGATGAGATACAAAATCTGCCATCCCGTGGTTACTAGGAACATAATCACAAACAAACAAGTAGAAATTAATAATTCGAATTTAATGTTTTTTTATAGGTTTATAAAAATTATTAGGGATACATATTCGAAATAATCTGAGATAAATAATGATGATACTTGGACCCAACGCAGAGCCGAAACGAGGCGAGTGATGAGTGATCTGTATCCATCTGGAGAATTAAATGAAATGGGCCCTAACGTTTTGGAGGAAACCTTCGAAAGAGATTAAAGCAATGAATCAAATTTGAAGATCAATGATTGGGAGTCACGCTTCTACTATTCCACACACATTGCCAACTTAACTTGAGGATTTGTTTTGCCATAAAAAATATATTTTGCGATAAAATTTGAACATATGATATAAAGCGGTTATGATTCTATGCAAGTTTGTTTTTTTATGATATTTTTTTTAATGAACATAGGATAATGTTTTTTAATTAAAACTCACAGAACGATCTCCCTTATTATGTTAAAAAACAAGATGGGATCTGTGTGTGCCTATATATAAACACTCTATTATGTATAAACACTCACATAGGATATTATGTGCTTCATAACTGTTTTTATTTTCTATACAAAGTCTTGACTAAGGGGTAACCAGATTTCAATTTTTGTGTTTGACTATTTAGTTTTTGTATTTGTTTTGTCGTGTTCTCTGTAATAAACAAATTTTAAAAAATATTGTCAATTGAATCCTAAATAAAAGAACCGTTGAGGGAAGATAAACTGTAACATGAAAAATAGACATGTTATTGGTGATTAAAATTTGGTACTTACAGATTTATTAATAGTCGGTATTTACCTTTTCGCTTTGTATAAAACCTGTGAAGATGGTTTGGTTTAAATATCTTTTAATAATCTTTTTTTAAACGTACATATTTTCCAATTATTTTAAATAATAATAAATTAAGAACAAGCCTGCTTGTCAGATAGAGGCTGAAAAACCACAATCATACTAGTTGTTTAATAAAATTCCATTATTAAGATAGGTCCTAGAAGAAGTCCTAGAGTTTCACAACATTAGAGAAAAAAAAAGTTGAGATGACAAGAGTGCCAAGTAGGCGAGTACATTGAGAAAATCAAATAAACCTACTTTGTTTTTTACTGTAAGAAGAGGGGGAAATTTTCACACTCTGCTAGTTGTAAGGACACGCGGCACCAAAAACTATCCTGGTTGAGAGCATTACAATTAACATATCCGCTAAATTTATAGGTAAATTGTATGTGTTGGCTTTTCCATTTCCTACATTTTTTAATTTTCATTCTGAATTTAACATGACCGTTTGTATTATAAAAAGGGTTAAAAAATATACACGCGTAAAAAAATGGAACTACCAAGTTATTAAACACAATAATATATATCATTCATAGCTTCGCACTAATGTATTTTAAATAGAAAATCTCTTGTATTGTCAACTTTTTCAACAACGTCTTAATTCCAAAATTATATATATCACGCACCTATCTTCACAACTACCTATATATGCACAAATTTCGTCTTATAATATATCTAGTTTGCTATATACTCACTATGAAACTTAAGGTTATTTAGTTTGCCTATTTGCACATGGCTACCGGGAACATAATGGCCAGATCGCCCATTTGCACATGCTGCTATGCTGCATAGAGCCAACATGCATGCATGGCTGCAAGGCCATTAGGACGATGACCTTTGAACCACTTCCCTCTCTCTTTCTCACGAAATTCGTCTTTTTTTCCCCTAAGAAACAAACATTTATTTACTTAGCGTTAACTAATGCATATATGAGAAAACATTATACGTATAAAATATCACTGTGTATAAAAAATATACAAAAAAAAAAGTACAACAATGATGACATATGCAACATAATTAACCGCTTATCTAATAATTTATTCATATTATATAAAATAAACACAACATGACTTAACATATAAAAATAAAAAAAATTAATCAGTTATGTTAATTTGAATTTGTAGGATTGAATTTATTTATTTAAAAGTAAATTTGTTGAAAAATATATGATTTATTACATTATTTTCGAATACGTGTATGGTGGAAAGGTTAAAAATTGGAATATGTGGTGGTTGCGAAAAACGGAAAAAAGGATGAAGAGGTATTTGGCGTAGTCACCGACAGTGAGTTGGGTAGCGGCAGCACAGGCGTGGAGTACCTACACTCTGACATGCCCGAATGGTAATTAATGTACTTCAACCATCAGTTATTGCACACGTACACCAATCCCATTCTTTCCCTTCTTTCTTTCTTTCTTTTTATTTTTCGCTCCACCGCTGCTCCCTTGTACATTAATTGAATTAGTGATGTTGTAAATAATCTT